CGCCTGGTTCTACCGGAGGTTCGAGTGGCGGTGGAGGTGGCGGTGGAGGAGGTTATAGCGGAGGTGGTGGAGGTGGAGGTTACGACGGTGGCTATGCATTTCAGAGAGAGGAATACGCCTATGGAGGAGGTGGAGGTAGGGGGTTTGTGATGCTTCAGAGGACATTTTTTGTTGGATTGTGTTCGACGGCTGAATGCGATAATTGGCATTGAGTTACAAAGTGAAAAGAGCAAACTAAACCGCAATAGACAACGTTATGATTCATTGATCTACTTAGATCAATCTTCTTCCCCGTGATTAACCATATCCGATTTATTGCATCTTTTAGGAGGTGGATTTGATGCTACAGGCGGTGGCGGTGGAGGCGGTGGTGCTGATACTGGCCCGAAAATGCGAACCGATGTATCTTGTTACTTGGGTCCAAGATGAACCAAATCTTGATAATAATAATAATAATAATCACATACCACCTCCTATGCACCTGTGTACGATCAGCCTGAATTAATCAAATAATAACATTCAATCATCTGTATCTTTATGATTCAGCATGTATATTGAATAAACATTGTGTTTAGTTGTTTATTCACTTCACCAACATTTATTCCATCAGTAATATCGCGTTCAATATTCATCTGCTTAAACGCATTATGTGCGCTTGACAAGTGGCGTAGCGCCTGATAGTCACTGCGATTCGATTTTATATGCTGACTCGAAATAAAATTGTACACGAGTGCTGGTTAGCACCTAACAATATAATATCAAACAAATTTCAAGACTTGTAACGGTGCAACTCAAGGCTCATGCGTGATACGTGTCAACCTATGTGAATAAGAATATGAAATTATCAGCAGTGAAGGTGTCTACATTGTTGAGCTCGTTTAGTTGAATTTATTGTAGATCAGAGAGGAATATTCAGTATTTGCAAAATATTTAGCCTTGTAATTCTGTAAGAACGGTTGAAAATTTTAATTTTACGGTGTTCAGGTTCACTGCAGTGATTGGTACTTCGAAGGATTTCGGTGCAGTGATATTTCGAGAGTAGGTAATTCATCTGCTTTATGCATACTACTCCTACCCCATGGATAAATCGAACGCGTAAACGTTGCTCCTTACCTTCCTTCACTTGATCGTCTTGCGTACCAATATCCTTCACATCCTACGGTGCATGAGGTATTCAGAAACGGATAAAAACCATTAAATGAATGAATAAAAGTAGAAAGCAATGCAGTTTAGCTTGCTTTCAAAATTCGCAACCTNTATTTATTCACTTCACCAAGATTTATTCCATCAGTAATATCGCGTTCAATATTCATCTGCTTAAGCGT